ATACTTGCATATGCCAATACAGATGTTTTTCACCTAACTATTCCTCTGACTATCTAGTGCGTTCTAATATATTTCTACGGCCCATTCATAGCTGTCGCGGTTTAAGTGAACTTTTAATATTTTGGAGTATAGCACTCAGTTACGGTGTCACCAAGTAGCAGAAAAAAGAAGCGAAAAGGAAGCGAGAGTGCAAGAGAGAGATTTTTTAAATGCCAAAACGCACATTGCACTGAGGAGTTTTGCGAACAAGAGAAAGTACTCACAGAACTGCAGAAAAAGAAACAAGACCCTGCTGCTAATTACTTTTTTGTCCCTTCTGGAATAAACATACCTCAATTTAAATAAACAGGCTGCAGTCTGAACTCTTGATAATTAAAGAAATGACGTTAACACAACAAGAGCTGCACATGGAGAATCAAAATTATAATCTTCACCGCAAACAAGGTGATAATGCCACAAAAATGTAAGGGGCTACAGGATGTGAAAGAGAAGAAAATGACTTTATAAGGAGCCGGAAACCAAGTCCTAAACAAGAAACAAGCTATAAGCCTCTATACCTGCTAAAAAGAAAAAGAAAAAATAACGGGGAGGAGTGTGAACCGGACAATAGGCGAATATCTACTCCTATTAAATATAACATACCATATTAGATGGAATATAAAAGCCCTCTTCCCCACCCCCAATAAAAAAACATACACATAAGTTTTGTAAGTTAATGTTTACTTCCAGTGCCGCAGATGACAGGTACTAATACCTAGCCTTATCACCAAAGACTATAATATTACATATAGTGTAGACACTTTTATATAATGCCAAAGAAGATAATGTTCTAGCTAAGAGTCATTTTTTTTTGGGGGGGGGGGTGTTGTTTTTTTTTGGGGGGGGGGTTGCTGTTTTCTTTTGGTGTTTTTATTTGTTGTTTTTTTTTTTTTTTTTTTTTGGCATAACTTTTTGACCGGTGCGCTCTCTCACCGTCTGAATATACTCTTAATTTCCCTGATGCTCCGTTTTTGCTAAGGCAAAAATTGTTCTAATCTTTGTTGCTTTTGTCACAAAGATTTCAGGCCTTCCTCAGAGCATCCATGTGTGTACATTTTGATTATTATTAAATAGCATATTACATATTCCTATTTGATTAGGCTCTTGTCAAATTTTTCGACGATGGTAGCATCTTTTGTTTTTACTTCTTGGCAGGTTTGTTACAAGAAAGTTGTTAAAAGTTAAAAAGATATTTGATATCGTGTTCTTGTAGTAACTTCAGTCTTGGGTCAGAACATTGTTTGGTCCTTAGAAGACTAAATCAAGTACAACATGACAAAAAGACGGTTAGCTATGTCGGTAGAACAGACCGGAAAGAGACCAGAACCACATCCGCTCCAGGTTGAATTTGTAATGTATGTGAATTTCTACTGTTCACTCCAGTTTTCGTTTTGTGTTTAAAAATAAGGGATCTGTCGCTTTCTCTCTCTTTTCTGACACGTTAAACGAGGGAGATTTTTCAATAAACCGTCTTTGTCCTGTTTTTTCAGGCGAGTTTATAGGACGAGCTGCTTTCGTAGTTTCAGCGTCTCTTCTCCTCCCCCGTTACTTTTTTTTTTCTTAACCGCACCCTCACAAGCTGCCTTTCATTCCTCGATAAATTCATCGGAATCGCTCACTTATGCCTGAATGTATAATTTAGCTAAAAGTTAGCGCAAACCAGGGAAATAATAAGAACTAGGGAGTAAGATATTTGTAACAGAAGAAAGTAAATGCAGATTATGGCGACATGTAGGACATATAGCGGATAATTGTAGACTTAAAGAGAAAAATTTTAGTAATCATGGAACCATCCTCTCGGGAGTATATTACACAAAAGAGCTCTTCTCTGGAAGAAGCTGTTCCAGTGGAAAGTCCTCCTTACAAATGTTCTGGTACAAGAATATTATTTTCTATTGCAGCGTTTCTCAACTGGCACGAGTTCCACGAGAAGCCGTGATAAATAGGCTAAAACATTTTTCAGTATTTTTTTAAAAATGTTATATTTGTAATTTTACTAAACACGTTCGGCATAATGTTAAAAAAATTCTTCGGTTATTAAAATCAAGGATTCCACAAAGGTATAAAGGTTCAGAAACGATTTTTCTAATGTATTAAACTTGATGTCAGGAACTAATTAAGGCCATGTCCAACAAGTTGGACGTCAGACATAAATGGGTTAATAATTCATTTTTTCATTTACTTCCCTTGCCTCGAACAAAATTGCAATTTTTTGGATTTTTTTTTTTGTTTTCTCCAATTGTTGAAATCTTGAAAATAATTTATAAACGTTTCTGCGAAATGATTTGCAAAAATTAATAATCTGAAAATTGTAATTTTTTTTATATTTGATTACTGCTAACTTTTTAAATTTTCATTAATTTTTTTTTTATTTAATTATTATTCATCTTTTAAAATTGTATTTTTATTATTTTCCCGACTTCTACCCCAAGCATCTCCTATGTCAAGTGTTTTCCATTTGTTGCTACGAGGGTGACTCTCTAAAAAAAAACAAAAGTGTTGTAACCTAGAAAATATTACTGACTGAGGAATAACGAAAACGGTGATTGGAAATGAAATGGTAATCTTTATAACATCAGCAAAATACAATACTCGCCAGCGGCGTGAAGTACGTAAACCACTGCTAGTGGTGCACTACATAGACAGCATATTACCCCTACTTACAATAGTGTCCAACGTATTTATGAAGATTGGGATATACCTATTAGTGTTCATGGGTACGGTATATAGCAGAAAGGGTGTTTCGTGTGCGCAGCTTTGTTGCTATTGGTTCAAATACTTTTGGTGGAATAAGTACGATTGCAGTTTTCGGGAATCGAGGTAAAAAAAGGCGTTTGCTGCAGAGGGTGAATTGGTTCTTTTCTCTAAATGCAACAATTCTGTCTATTTCGTACTGTCGATATTAGAGAGGGTTCTACTGAGTGATTTGCACTCTCCTCAGATTTGAATGGGGATGGGGTAGAAAAGATTACAGAAATGGGCAACAGAGTGTTGAAAAGTACAAGAGAGAGAGAGAGAGAGAGAGAAAGCTGACACAGATAGAGTGGGGACATTAATGAAAGGAGAAAGAAGGGAGAAAAAGGAGACAGCGAAAAGTAAGGGAAATAAATGGAAGAGGCAAATGTTGTTTCATCTCCAGATGAAAGAGAACAAAAACCAAACGACAAAATCAAATAAAAATAAGATACACAGATAAAAACCTTGACTTGGAGAATTTCCCAAAAGCTTTTGGGACGAAGCAAAAATAAGAGACCGAAAATTAATGTAACAGAATAAAGAAAAAAACATAGAATATATCGCTGTTTTTTTGTTTTATTTTTTATTTTTTATCAGTGTCACCCCAAGCAAGGCAGTAAAGCCACTAAAACAGAAGCGGTTACAAGGTGTGGAAGAATTAAGAGCAGAAAAAAATAATGATGAGCAGAAAGAAAAGAGAGCAATCAGGAGAATGGTAGATCGCGATTGACATTGCATTTAAATTTTTGCGGAGTAAAATTGTCTGGAAAGCATAGAGACAGAATAGAGTTCCACAAGCGAGAAGTGCGAAAATGTTAGCATAGAACTTATGGCTACATCTCGCCAGCTCAACTATAAATTGATGAGATCCCGACGCCAGTCTAGTGTTGCGCTTAAATTCAAAAAGTCTAGTTACCATAGCGAAGAGCTCATCCGAACAATTACCATGAAAGTATTTATAGAAAAGACAGAGAGGCAACCTTACGGCGGAGAGAAAGTGGCTGGTGCTGAGTCACCAGCTCAGGACCAATAATATTGCTGATTCTTCTTTGGATCTTATCAAAGAGCTCAGAGTAAACAGCAAGGTCACCGGACATTATGTGACAGCAATATTCTTAGCATAGATGAATAGTAGACTTATAGATAGATAAGATAGATTATGGAGTGAAAATTGTTTCGCACGACAAAATGAACCGACTTTTTTAACAGCTGATCTAGTAATAGATTCAATATAACCTTTTCACTTCATATCATCAGAGAACGTTAGCCGGAGAAGACGCAACAAATCATTTTCATGGAGGTTAGCATCAGCCATGCCAATGGAAGACAGTGAGGGGTCTCTCAGATGTTTACCAAGATCTCTGCGTCATCTTTTAATATACCGTGTCTCTTCAGGACTTTGGTGGCCATAGCTCTCACTGCCGTCTATACATCTCAGCTTTAAAATGCTTGGCACTATATTAACTCTCTCAGCTTATAAGGTAGTTTTCTCTGTCCCTTCTTGCCTTCAATGTCTTGTAAGTGTTAACTTTTCAAGGCCCTTTTTTTCTCATTCTGTTTCTTTCTGATTATTTTCATTATTTAAATTATTCGGACAGTTTTCCTAATCTTCATTGCCATCTTCACAAGAATATTATAAAGCGGTAACACGCGGGGAAATACAAAAATCAGCCGTAGCTAACCACATATGGAAGGAAAACGGGGACCCCTGTGGGATGAGGTTGAAATAATAGATCGAAAACATCACTGGAAAATACGAAAACTTAGGGAATCTGCACATAGGCTAGCCCACAAAGATCTGATCCGACCAAGCATAAAAATGTAAAAAGGAGTGTTAGAGAATAGCAATGAATAATAACACAAAAATTTGCAGTATAAGCTCTTCTTGTCTTGATGCGGCATTCATCCTGGGCGGATTGAGCCGGCTTCTTCCTGTTGTGAGAAGAAGATTCTTGGGATAAATTACAGAAGTAGGGTACCCAGGCCTACTCGGATAACGTTCTTGCTTGCCGCGGGGTTCCCACAGACACAGAGACAGGAACGACCAGAAGCCGCTGATGCAGACGCTCCTTGGATTGTCACCAGAGCCCTTGTTAGCCGGCGTGTGTGTCAGACCTGTCCGCCTTGGGTGGCCCTACCAGGAACGAAGTTCCGGACGGCATAGCTCTGACACTACCGTTTACCCCCCCCCCACCGACTGTGAGGTAAGGGTTGGACTTTGGGGGCTTACAGTACCAGGTGTTCCAAAGCGGTCCCCCATCTAAGTACTGATGCTTAACTTCGGTGATCGAACGAGAACCGGTGTTTTCAGCGTGATTTGACCGTAAGCTATAAGCTCTGGTAAAAAAATATGCAATAATAATAATAATGGAAAAATTGCAGTATGAGCGCTGGTAAAATTGGTTGCTAAGTTTATAAGTCCCAGAAATTCATACAAGGACACATGGCCCAGCGGATAATGACGTTGGTTAGATCCAATGACTAGACCCAAAGAGTTGTGAGTTCAATACCAGGCTACAGCAGTGGTGACTTAAATGGAAATAACTGAGACGTCCGGAGGCATTGCACGTGGAACTAAAACATTCTACTCCGGTGGATGAAGTAAATCACCTGAAGATGCGTACAACGACCGAAACGTTGGGAATATGACAATGAAAATGAGGATTACAGAGATGGTATTCTCAACATGCTCCTGTAGAAAGAATAAATAAGTGTGCCTATTTCCCAAAAGACCGATTCCTTTTGAACAGGAGTAGAGGTTCATCTCTTGTTCCCTGTATAGGATTGGGTTTCCGGTTCCTTCTAAAGTCTACTTCAAATCTATACTTCTAACGTCTCTGCCTGAACTCTGAAATTTTATTAAGTTAATTAAATCTTCACATCTAGAATTAGCTGTTATCTTTCCTGCGTAGCCCCAAGAACTTCACTTCTTGCCCTTTCTTACGCTCATACAACTCTGCATAGCAACCCTCTACATTGAGGGGCTCTTGGGTCTTGTATTGGATGAAACAAAAATCTCAAGTCGCCTCTTAATTTGTGAGGAAATTGTTCAGCATTCACTGCCATGGTAAATAAATATGGACATATTTAGAGATTCTTGCTAAAATCTAAAGAATCTGCAATGTTATTGGTCCTGACCTAGCATCTCTGCATCATTCCTATTGCCACCGCTGTAACGTAGCTTCCCACTGACTTTTCTGTAAATATTTCCATGCTAATTGTCCTGAAGAACTTTCCTCTTTGGTATCTAGAGTTTATGAATTTAAGTCCCCAGCTATGGGTAAATAGCAGTATAGACTGGGTTATATAGCCTTGGATGGCAATTGAACTACCGTAGAAAGAAATGGCAATCTTCTGTGGGAAAAAAATTGCTTCGTCAGGATCGTCTAAGCATGGCACATATTTGACTGAATTGAAGAGATTGTAAAACGAGAGCATGCCGCCATTGTTGAAATAGTTTCTTGCATCGCACTTCTCCCTTCTAGAACGCTCTTCCGGCTTCTTCCTTCCCAGTCAACTTTGGTCTATAAAAGTTTAAATGCAATATCAATCGTCATCTTAATTCTTGTTCTCTATTCTCTCTCTTTCTCCCTCTCCTTAATAGTGTTTTTTTTTTTTTTTTTTTTTTTACACAGAAACCCTTGTGTCTTAGTGGATTTTATAGCCTTTCTTGGGTGGGGGTGAAATGTTTAAAAAAAAAAAAAATCAAAGTTCTGTAAATAAAGTAGGAATCATTGTACACACTTTGTCATTTGTGGGTGTGTGTTTTTAATTCTATGGAAATAATGTAAATTTGCTGGCCTAGACAGTAGTAACAAAAAGTTGTTACATCTGTTGTCAGTCACATCATTTTTTATGAAAAACAGAATCTATCTTACATATAAGTCTCCTGTTCACCCTTCCTTTGAATATTGCTGCCACATTTGGTCTAATGATCCTGCTATATATTTATTAGAACTTCTTGATAAAATCCAAAGAAGAATCTACAACATTATTGGTCCTGATCTGGCATCTCAGCTTCAGTCACTTTCCCACCGCCATAATGTAGCTTCCCTATGCCTTTTCTATAAATACTTTCATAATAATTGTTCTGATGAACTTTCCTCTTTGGTATCTAGATTTTATGAATTTAAGCGCAGTACTAGATTAGTGAAATATCTCATCATTTTAAACTTGAAGCAGTTAGATGTAACCGTAAGTTCTATGTTAACAGTTTCTTCTATTGTATTTTTCACTTCCAACTTCTTAATTCCCAGTCAACTTTGGTCTTCAAAAATTTAAATGCAATGACAATCATAATCTTCTGTCTTCTTAATTCTTGTTCTTGTATTGTTCTCTCTCCTTAATAGCAGTTTTTTTTTTCATATTCTCTAATACTCCTTGCGTCCTAGTGGCTTTATTGCCTTGCCTCAAGCGACTTGTTACTCGTTAATTTTCTTTTCGACTTAGAAAAGAAAATTGAAAAGCCACGTTGAATTTTAGCACAAGGTCACAATCGCCAAAGATCAACATTACCCAGAAGATGGATTTTAACTTTATCTTTACGCTCGTTGGTTTTAAAATTTGAAATTTCTTAAGTGTCAATTCTTGGGGATAAGTTTGATTTAGTAGTTCTTAATCTTTTCTTCTTCAACGTCCCCTTTTCAGTTATTTGTGCTGGCTGGCACTCCATGCACTGGTAAAAGGAGCAGAGTTAATGTTTTATTTCATTACTAAACCTCCTGTACTCGTTGGGTCAAGTTTGTTGTGTTTACTGTTTACATTTAGCTTCATGAAGAGTTTGATATTTAAAAAAAATACATTTATTTGCAGTTATTGAAGTTGCTTTCAACATTAAAAAACATGTCTGTTTGAAGAAAGTTGAACAATAAGAGCTTGGAATGTCAAAATTCGGAGTGTTGGGATTCGATACAATAACATAAAATGTTGTTGCGGGGCTGCGCATAATTCAGCCGTTTAGAATAAACGATTTTCATTGAAAGAATAAAATTCAGTAGAAAAGATGGCGTAGTTTCAACAAACGAACATTTAATATAACGATACGAATACAAACAATTGGTCATAGATTGGAAAGTAATGTCTTTTTATTTGGGTTAATAAAATTCTTAAATATAAATTCTCTTTGTGTACGTATGTGAGAAACAATGAAATATTGTTATATGTGTGTTTGTGTAAAAAAAAAAAGTCAATACGTGTGTGGGTGGGGCATAGTAAAGTGGACACAAGAGATAGAATTTGTTTCTTAAAGTGGATGATGTTGCTGTAGCCAGACTACGGCGGTCTCCTTGAAGTTTGTCATCACTGTTGCTTTTAGCATGAGGTCGTGAAGTTCACAATCGAGTGTGGTGTGAATCTTGATGACAGCTGTGCGTACCCAGTTTGGGGCCGGATTTCGTGTGTTTTATACACTTTCTCGTAAGAAAATAGGCTCCATCCCCCACTTCCTACACGATAATAAGTGTACATTTTTCTTTTCCCCACTCTCTATATATGACTTCTGCAAACACACAAGATACAAAGTTTTATATAGTAATAGGATTGTAGCGCCAATTACCGATATAAGTAAGCTATGGCAGGAACAGCCGGGTTTTGATCCCAAACATATACCGCACTTGCAGACGAATGTTCAAAATATACCTAAAGATATAAATAGACATGTAAAACATAGAAATGCGTATATGAATTGTTGTGACCTATCTCAACCAGAGCTCTTAATCCGTTTTTATTATACCGTTCCTTCACCCCCTCTAACATTTAGTGCAACTGAGAGCGTTCATAGCATCTCCAACTTACGGTTGAAATAGTTGCCTGTTTCGCATCGCGACCAGGATAGATATTTCGATAATTCTCCGGAGCAAAAAAAATGAAATGAAAAAAAAATTAGCATAATTGTTAATCGACGTTTTTCATTATTAATTATCAATAGTTGTTAATAAATTAATTTTATTCGTCAAAAATTGAATGTGAATTCAGGGGCCGGTGCAAAGAGTCTCGTGCTCACCCCACAAACCCGAGTCTATGATACGTACCCCTCGACTACATCTCAATTTTGATAAGGTAGTATTCGTATAAAATACAAATACTATTGTAATATAATTATAGTGTGGAACCACCTCATAATTGTTGTTCTCACCTCCACTCTGACCCGGGGTGGTAGCACCTGTTAGAGTCCCAGATATAGGCAAATAGCGAACTCTCACACACAAAAAAAAACTATTAAATTATAAAAATACTAACAATACATAATTATATGAAAAAAAAAAAAAACCAGCAACAATACATATTTATAATAAAATGATCAACAATATATTTTATTTGTAGTTGAAGACATAAGATTGTGTTCAGAATATTTAGATTTCGGCATTAAATAACCCATAGAGGTTTTGCTATGCCGCTTATTAACCGTAACCAAATTTATGTACAATAATAGATCATATGCAATATAGGTGAACAATTTAACTAGAAAAATCGAAAATAAATACAATATATCGAAATAAAATTTAGAGACATGTCATAATGTATCATTCCATCGTAAATACATCAACAGTGTTTTTCTGTCATTTTTAACAACAACTTTATATTTTCTTGTTAAAAGGTTGAATTTTAACATATTCAACATTATGGATAAAAAAAAGGGAATTTCATATAGTGTTTTTTAGCATGTGCAAAACAAATTCAGGAATACGGAGAAAAAAATGTCCCCAGAAAGACGTCAAAATCCTTTAATAGTCAGTTGTGCTGAGTTTAATTTGTGACGTATATAAATGTAGGTAGAAAAAAGTAAATGTTTATAAGATAGCGAGGGTCACAAATCACTGCCCGCGGTCCCCATTCAGACCCCAGGAGGATCAGGGGTAGTAAGCACCCTCCCTTAGTAAATTTGCCATCTAACAGCGGATATTGTGTCTAGCCTCGTGACTAAACTTACCGAACCGGTGACAGAATACAGATAAAACCTGCAATTTTGTATCCAGACTTACAAAGTAGACAGCTCCTCTCCCCTAAAAGTGATGTAACACAATCTCCCATTCCGCTCTTCATTTTTTTTGTTTGGTAGCTTATTAATCTAGGCTGAATGAAAAGGGTAAAAAAGAATGTGGATATTCCTTAGAGAAGAACTAAGTTTGGTCGACACCGTTTGTGTTGGTCCGTCAAATGTGCAATAAGCATAAAATAAATATTTTCTCAAGGTTTTGTAAGGCGATCTATAAAATAAATAACAAAACATTTATTATGATTTGCAACTCGCAAATATCGTCTGTTGATTAGATCAGCAGACGATATTTAAAAGACAAATTTATTGGTTACATCATGTAATGTTCAAAAACCTCATTTCTTGGCGAAGAATATAAATTAAACGAATTAATTTTGCTTCGAAATAAGACAGCTACATTATTTCTATTATTTGCCAAAAATTGAAATATCTTTAAATTAATTTGTTTTGTTGAGACGAGGAGTAAACATTGTGTCTCAGCAAAACAAATATAATTTGAAACATTTTTTAACAGAAGGCTATTTTTTAAAATTATTTATAAATAGATCTGTATGTGCCAATTTTTTATGAGCTCACACACATAATTGTATGACTATAAAATTCTACATTTTTACATGTATATTTGTGTGTAATGATATATGAGATAAACAGAGTTTCGTTAATTTTCTTCTTATACAAGAATTCTTATTTCTAGATTCAGATAAAAATAAGTGTACGAAAATATGAATTGAAAAAGAATATAAGAATAACACAATTCAGTTTTTATTTTTAATATGAACAGGTTTTTAAAAAATGATGGTTGTGTATGCATTCTATATTTTTCTCACAAATACATAAACTCATGAAAGTAAAGGATAGAAAATAGAAGATAGATTCATAAAAATAAAAGGCAGATAGATAGATAGATAGATAGATAAGTAGGCAGATAGATAAGTAGATAGATAGACAGATAGATAAGTAGGCAGATAGACAGATAGATAGACAGATAGATAGATAGATAGATAGATAGATATTTAAAATTTGTGTATGATTGGGATAGATAAACAGTGTGGGCATAAAAATATACCCTACAATCATAGTGATTGTTAGTTTCATGCCTTTAGTTATCAAACTTGAATTGTTTGAGGATCCCTTTCAGGAGTGAAAAATGATTTGTTGATTTCTGGGCCCTCACAGTTTCATATATTTATTACTTTAAACGTTATTTTTAATTGGATACCAATATTTGAGTAGACGTACCGTTTATTTTTTTAAACATTATTTCGTCTACTCGCCTGAATATTGTCATTAAAGAAAATGGGATCGATATATAATGTGTGTATGTATTCGTGAAAGAAAGAGCATTTTTTTATTTTATGGTGCATATATTTATACATGTATGTTCATGTATATGTCATTCTGTCATTTCAAATATGTGTGGATCTGTGTGTACAGTAAATTTACCTGACAATAAAAAAATATTGTAGACAAATATTTTTCAACGTAAACTCTTTGCTTGTTAATGCACTTAATCCTTTAATTTTAATCACAGTTTATCTCCAAGTGCAAGAGAAGTGATGCTGGCAATTTGGATAGGACAATGAGAAGCTTTTTAATTTGCTTTCATATTATCAACCTAATAATTTAAAAATCTTACACACACACACACACACATATATATATATTGTTAACGCGAATAACTTTTATTACAGTGCTAAATTTAAGCCTGGTAAGAAGAAGAATTTAACATATTTCTGTAGGTACACTATGTAAAAGTTTTTCACGTGCGTCTTAAAAAATTATTTTCACTTATTATTGTTGTACACTGGCCTCTCCTCCGAGTCAGTCTGGAAGAAGCAGATCTCGTTCGATCACAAAGTTAAGCATTGTCGAGCCCGGTCAGTACTGAGATGGACGATCGTTTGAGAACGCCGGTTAGTAAAAGCGGCCTCCTGCAATACGAAATATGTTTCGGCTTTGAATAATCCACAAAAAGTTTGATAAGACATGAATGAATAAATAAGTAAAATTATATATATATATATATATATATAATGATCAACCAATTACGGAATTTGTCTTTTTAACTTCCAACTTCGTAAATATCTCTGAATTATTCGCTGTTGTCTGCCACCTGGCGTCGCTAAAGCAAGGGAGACAACTAATACAGCAAAAGGTTACAGGCCTTGAAGTAAAGAAAAAACAATATTGTATAAATACTGTTTAGCATTTTATTTTTCTAAATAGAATAGCAGGATGTGCTTTCTTTTTGTAAAAACGTATGCTAAGATTAAGAACAAAAACACCAATTTCTTCAGTTGATAAATAAAATCTTTTTATATATATATATATATATATATATATATATATATATATAAAGTTAAAGATCTACCTATAATCATATTCAAATATTTATTTGTGTAATGTCACCTGCACTCTTCTCGTATGAACAATGGCAATAAAATAGGGAAAAATAATGAGATTAAAATAAAAAGCTTCTCTCTATATATTTATCTTCTTATACATATAGCAAAAGACTTCTAGTTTTCTCCGTGGCAATTCTATAACCAGTTGAATACCGGCCGATGAGCAGATATTTCTGCTTTCTAGAAACGTTGACTAGCTTTTGGGGAAACAAATAGATCCCTGCCAAGAAGCCAACATGGGAAGTAGGAAAAAGCCAACCTACTTCGGACGGGCAAGTAAGGATCAGTTGCTGGGATGGGAGTAACAAAAATAAAAATATTAAAAAAAAACGAAAAAACAAAAAAAAAACCTAACTAAATAAAGGCGGAAGAAGTAAAGAGAGAAAGAAAAGAAATGTCCTTGCTGACTATAGACCTGCTTCAGTCAGGCAGGGTTAGGCTTAGAGAGAGAAAGAGAGAGAGAGAAAAAAGAAGCTTATATCAAAAAGGAGTAAAAAAGAGAATCTAATGAAATGTATGTACTCCAGCAACTTTGCTTTGTTTCTTTATTTTCCCGACGTAACCACGGTTTTGCTTTGCACAATTTCAATTACCCGCGGTCAAAATAAACAATTCGTAAGCTTTTTCTATACAAAGTAGATATTCTGGAAATTCTGATACGTCAAAGAGAATCGCATTTCTTCCATTTAATTGACAAAGATAAAGCTCACGACTTCTGAAACAAATGAATAAAAAAATCCTATCATGGTTACTAACTAATTGGAAATATTCATACCAATCACAGTTTTATAAATGTTTTATTTAATTATGATTACTGAGCTTAATCGATGACAGTACGTAATTTATAAATGAAATTATATGTATCTAAGGATAAAAAAAAAATTGGGTCCTGAGCGATTTCAGATCTCCACAAAAACAGTATTAGAAAATATATTGTCGGATAAAGAGGATTTCATATTTATGTATTTGCTTAGGATAAAGTACGTATCACATAGACGCTGGCATATTACACACACACACACACACACATTACAGGGACATTATATATATATATATATATGCACGCATATACTACGCAAACACACATGATATATACACTATTTTCATTTAAGCAGATTTGATTACATATTTTAGAGATATTCTGTTTTTTTTTTTGTTTTTTTAATCCTTTCAAGATCACGAATCAATTTCTTTGTAGCTGTAGGAAACTGATTAAGAAAAATACCAAAATATTATTTGAAATAATTTTTATTTTCAGTATGAGACCATCTTCAGGGGGTTAAATTGTCTGTGTATGTGTATAAGAATTCTCGTAAATTATTTAACAAAACCTGTTTGTGTATATATATATACACACACTATACTTACACTAATATATATATATATATATACACAGACGCTATATACTCACACACATAATATATACAAACATAGTATATATACATGCACACATACAATATATAAATATATAACTGCACATACTATATACACAAACTCACTATATATTTATACATACACACCTACTATATATGCACATAAATATATACTATATACACACATACAACATATACTATATGTACACATATACTAAATCTATAAAAATACACACATATACGATAACATATACCACACGATATATATATATATATATATATATATATATATATATATATATATATATATATATATATATATATACACACACACATACCACACATTATATAAATATACACACACACATACCACACACTATATAAACAGGCATATATACACTCATACCACACACTATATAAACAGGCATATATACACTCATACCACACACTATATAAACAGGCATATATACACTCATACCACACACTATATAAACAGGCATATATACATACATACCACACACTATATAAACAGGCATATATACACTCATACCACACACTATATAAACAGGCATATATACACTCATACCACACACTATATAAACAGGCATATATACACTCATACACACACTATATAAACAGGCATATATACACTCATACCACACACTATATAAACAGGCATATATACACTCATACCACACACTATATAAACAGGCATATATACACTCATACCACACACTATATAAACAGGCATATATACACTCATACCACACACTATATAAACAGGCATATATACACTCATACCACACACTATATAAACAGGCATATATACACTCATACCACACACTATATAAACAGGCATATATACACTCATACCACACACTATATAAACAGGCATATATACACTCATACCACACACTATATAAACAGGCATATATACACTCATACCACACACTATATAAACAGGCATATATACACTCATACCACACACTATATAAACAGGCATATATACACTCATATATATATATATATATAGATAGATAGATAGATAGAGTGTGTGTGTATGTACACGCTCTTATTATATGTGTAATTGGTTTGTGTAATTATAGAGAGTACCATCTTCGATGTCTGCTCCACTGCATTTATAAACAGCACACTGATAAGCATATATATATATATATATATATATATATATATATAATGTGTGTGTGTGTGTGTGTGTGTGTAACTTTATTTTTCTACCCGAAACGTACATAAAATAACTCTGAAGGAATTAATGAATGTCTTTTCCCATTTGTATGGCAAATGATATATAACCCTAAGAAATTATTATTAATTGTAAAAGGCTATGTAAAAGGTCGATTTTGCCTGAGTTCAGAAAAGATTTCTGGGATGCATATGTGGTCAGTGTAAGGGCCATCGGCGCGGCAATTTAAATCCGGCTTAGTTTATTTTCGCACAGAAGTCTCCTCTTATCCCAGGTATGTAGATCTTTCTTTTAGGAGAGAAAAAAAATCCGAATTTCAAACAGTGGAGAAAGTTACGAGAAATCACTCGTCTATGTTTTCCAAGTAATTTACAGAAAAGCGAAAAGGAATCTGTGGAATCTCATGGTCACCTCCGACATAAAGACACATAGGATGAGATAAAATGGAAGAAGCGTTTAAACGACGCGTTTCGCCGCCACTTTGTCTTATCTCCACCACGGTTTCGGATACTATTATTTATACAGCTTACAAACATGAACACCCACGTTTGTACACACACCCATACAGCGGCAAGAATGATGATATAAATAACACAAACAATATTTATTTTTAACATAATTTCCGTTTTTGCCAATGCACGTAACTTCTCCATTAATCACTTAACATTATCCAGTGAGAATTTCAAATTAAAATTGAGTTAATGTCTGTTACACTACGTGTATTAAATTGAATCAGTCAAAGTTCATACACGCGTAATATTTCTAAAATCTCTCTCTCATTATATATATATATATATATATATATATATATATATATATAGAGTATGACTGGCTGACAGATGAAACACGCCACAAAACCTTTTCTCAATTTGTCATACTATTTTTCCAAATATATATATATATATATATATATATATATATATATATATATATATATATATATATATATATATATTTTGATTTTCCATAAAATTTAACCTTACATAAACCGCATATTGTATTAACTGAAATTTCGGATCGGCTAAAAAATAGTATTATGTAAACTTCGGAAGTCGAAGTCTGGATGGCATTTATCATTCATCACCGGTATTCAGTCACGTGATAACGAGTGGTTGTGGAGATGGGGAAAGCACAAAGCAATTTACAGGAATCTGTAAAGTGTAAATCACAGTTAAGCCCTACGAAGTTAGTCGACCACCTGCATAAAATAAAAAAGGATTTTTTGGAAGACTCGCATGATACTTTCAAATAGCGTTAAAAGAATATTTAAAACATTCCTGGGAAATTTATACCATTACCTCGAAGCAACAAATGATGGGGAAAAAAGTAGTACTATATTTTTCGTTAGAAAATAAACTTATGCTATTGGTTTCGTACTGAAAAGTACACACACAGAGATAGATAGATAGATAGATAGATAGATAGATAGATAGATAGATAGATAGATAGATAGATAGAAATAAAGAGATAGAAAAAGAGAGAGAGAGAAACAGAGAAAGAGAGAGAGAGAGAGAAACAGAGAAAGAGAGAGAGAGAGAAACAGAAAAAGAGAGAGAGAGAGAAACAGAGAAAGAGAGAGAGAGAAAAAGAGAAAAAAAGAGAGAAACAGAGAAAAAGAGAGAGAGAGAAACAGAAAAAGAGAGAGAAACAGAGAAAAAGAGAGAGAGAGAAACAGAGAAAAAGAGAGAGAGAGAGAGAAACAGAGAAAAAGAGAGAGAGAGAACAGAGAAAAAGAGAGAGAGAGAGAGAAACAGAGAAAAAGAGAGAAACAGAGAAAAAGAGAGAGAGAAACAGAGGGAGAGAGAAAGAGAGGGAGAGAGAAAGAGAGAGAGAGAGAAAAAAGAGGGAGAGAGAGAAAAAAGAGGGAGAGAGAGAAAAAAGAGGGAGAGAGAGAAAAAAGAGGGAGAGAGAAAAAAAAGAGGGAGAGAGAGAAAAAAGAGGGAGAGAGAGAAAAAGAGGGAGAGAGACGTATGTCTCTTCTATCTACCGTGTCCCTTCAGAACGTGGGCTGTCATGGCTCTTCACAATTTCCTATCCTTTATAGCGCTAAGTAATGTTTGTTCCTTTATTCTCCTTCCAAATTCATGTTCTGTCATTCATTAATTAGGTCACTCACTGTTCCTCTTCTGACCCACTTGTATATCCTGCGTGTCAAATTCTCTAAACCCCCTTTCCTTCTTATGCGCCCCAAAAACCTTTCCTAGTTTTAACCAAAATCGCCCTATTCATTCCTATTTTCGTATTCATAAGTGCTTCACTAGCATACACCGGGCACGCATTGATGAAAACAGACAACGAATAAAACAATTGTGTAAATAGACTAAGTTTAATTGATTAATAGCGTAATCGCGTCACAATATTTTCACAATTACACCTCAGGTTTCATTGAAAAATCAGCGCACCATAATTGCACTATTGTTACTACTTTATCTACCGTTAATTGTAATTGGATTGAATATAATTGCTTATTGAAGGCGGAGTTAGCGCAGTAGGCGAGGTTTTCTTATTTAAATTATAAGTTGTTATTCTTAGGTTTGATGTGAATACATTCTTCACCAGCGAAATCATCATCAGCACACTGTATTCCATTTAATCAACAGTTTTATTCAAGTCGTTTTCTTAATCGAGAACCGTGTGTCCGGTAAAAGGTAGTCATGCCTACGCACACACACGATGGCATTATTTACGTTTACCTCGCTTCAGTTTAAGGAATTCGAGCGTTCTGCCAAGGACCAAAACCTGATGTTATTCCTCTGCTTTCTGCTAAACTACGGTTTTACAATCTTACCGCGTTGTTCACCCGATTAAATACCAACCTTTGAACCAGTTTTAGTATGAAAAATTAGGGACAGAGAAACAAAGAAATATACTGCTTCTGGAGAATGAAGAACTGGCAATGTCATTGGTCCTGACCTAACATCCTGGCTTCAGTCACTTTCCCCACCACCGTAACGCAGTCTTCATGTGCCTGTTCTATAGATACGTTCATATTCATTATACTGGTGAACTTTGTTCTGTAGAACTTAGTTACTCAGTTAAGTCTCATTTGTGATATACGCTGGGGCGATAGTGTCTCTTTCGATTCATAACTATAGACAGAATATTTCTGCCGCAGACTCAGATGTACAAGGTGGCGTTGAAAAGTTATCGGAATGAACAATTGGTTGTTTTTGTTTTTTTAAATAACCCACAAAGGGTTAAAAAGAAAACGAAGAATATTTTAGGTTGTAAAATGTTGCTTACAGTAAATGGTGTTTCCAAATAGTTCCCCATCTAAGTACTAACTGTTCTCAATGCTGCGATCTAACAAAACCGGTGTTTTCTGCATGATTTCTTACTAGAAGCCTTTTCAAATAAAATATTGGGCAAAGTATTTTACTCGAAGTTGTGGATAAACTGAAGTCCATATTTTATTATTTTTGTTCAAGTACTTTCGACTATCGCAATCATCAAGAACCTATGTGGCGTCTGTGGGGTGGGGGAGTCAGAATTACTTTGTCTACTTTCTGGTATTCTTTGGGAAGCTGGATGTTGGAAATAGTCTAGTGTGACGTAATATGTATTAGAGAGAGAAAGAGAGTGAGACAGGAAGGGATAAACCACAAAAAAAATATTATATATATATATATATATATATATATATATATATATATATATATCTCAAAGTATATAATTGGTATACACGGAATGAATTCAATAACCAACAATTACTATTCTTAAAAAGAGTGCTCAATACAAAGTAGAGCAGATATAATTCGAATTATATATATATATATACACGACAGGAACTGTCCGAAAATTTCTCAGTTTGAGAAAAGATTTAATATATATATATATATATATATAAAATTTATAAATTTAAAATATTGAAAAGATTTAACATGTATATATATTTAAATCTTTTGTTGTCAAACCGAGAAATTTGCGGACAGTTCCTCTCGTGTGTGTGTATATATATATATATATATATATATATATCTCAAATTGACATACTGCAATTATGTATAATTATACCTATCTATACTTATATAATTATAGGTCTCTCTCTATACATACATATACACACACATATATATATATATATATATATATATATATATATATATATATATATATATATATATATATATATATATATACACACACACACACACACACACAGATTCATACAATTTAACGCATCTGCTATGAGACGTTTTATCTGTGCCTTTGGGTGCCTTATAAAACAGAGACAGTAAATGGAGAAAGTGACAAATTGACAGAAAAAAAAGAAGCTTTGTAAAACTATGTTTGGCCATTAAACCATGTCGTAACACTTTATAGTTATAAATACTTACTGTAAAAGAAAATAGTACTAAACATAAATAGATTATTGTTGTTACGCTAGTGATGAAAGTTAACATGTAAAAATCTATCTTAAAAAAAAAACGAATCTTGACTACACTCCAGTTTTTGCTTACCTTTCCTACTACGGATCATTAGAATAATCAGCCAAGAAGGGATAGAAAAAGAAAATATTCAGCATAAAATCGGGGGTCAGAGACACAGATGAGGTGCGCAAGTCTCAACAAAGGCCCAGGTCTCTCTCCCGACCATAAAGCAGACACACGGGAAACTATACTTGCCTCTAATCACAGTTCACTCTCAAAACCATCCCTTGTCCCAAAAGACCCGCAGGGGGCAAATTTACTCAGTCGGAAAATGGAAAACTTTGCCTGTTCCTTGCGAACACTACTACTGAAGGATATATATATATATATAACTCTTATCTCCCAATACAAAGCTATCTCCCCACACGCACTCTAAAAAAAATAACCTTATTCTTTAAAAATAAATCTGTTTTCTGTGAAAATACCTTTGCATAAGCCAGCGAAAACCAGTCACCCGTAAAGGGATTTTAGGTTTTAGAGAAGGTTTGAGAATCGTCAATAAATAAATAAATTACATGATTTCGTATAAAACGACTGTCTTTATCCTTTACAGTAGCGTCCAATAAAAAAAGACAAATAGCACTTAACAGGCATCGACAATTGTATGGGCGAAAGTCTACCTTTACACAGACATGCCTTCATGTATACAACGGCTTATAAAACAACGAGAACAAACAACAAAGAGAATCTTTTCTCCTTTTGCCTGTCTATTTCATTTTATTCACGTCCTGTTCTATCTATCTATCTATCTATCCCCAATCTCTTCACATCTATCGAGAAGCCTAACTTTAGTCTGTTCACGTCCACCCACCTATCTACCTCGGCTCACGTCTGCCGACCTACTTACCTACCTCAATCGGCTCACGACAACCCACCTCCGTACCGAACTCAATCAGCTCACGTATACCTACCTAGTCTATTCACCTTTAAATCAGCTTAACTATTCTTGGTTTCGTTTATTTTACGGCATATCAACCTTTTTTCAGGATATATAATGTCTATTTCTGTCGTTCAGATAGATAGATATACATATCTAAAGTTCGCTTTGCATGAGAGTCATTAAAATGTAGACATAGGTCCGCTTTGCCCAAAAGTCAGGAAACGGTCGACATAGGTCCACTCTGCACAATTGTCATAAATAGACCTATGGACAAAAAAAAAAAAAAAAAAAAACATGGCCCCCTTATTAGAGTGATTACCACTTTGTACGAGGGTGCAGTTAGCGTATTTAGCACCCCAACCGACAGTATGATAACTATTCTTGTTTATATCCATCCGTATCTATCTAAGAAAATTGCTTATTTTGAAATGGCATTACATTTCATGTAGCACAAAGTCAAAATGGGAAGTGGAGAAAGGCTGGTCGTCACTGACTATACGACACTTACCTAATCCGATTCACGACCCATTCATTCTTATAATTGACTCAGTCACCACAAGAACTCATTGATGACGATTCAATCCAACATATACCACAATTCCGCATATTCGGAAGGATATTACATAAACCTCATGCTATAAAACTTTGATGACGTACAAAATGTCCATATTTGTTTTGTTTTTTTTATTTGGGGAGGGTTTTCTTTTTTTAAATAAAAATATATATGACATTAAATGAAGTGGGAAGGGATGAACCCAATAACGAAAATAAAGTACAACAAAACATTCAATCTAAAATAAAATATGTTAGTAAGATCCGTCCACCCCCACAGAAAAATAAAAGTGGCCACTGCATTCTGCCGATAAGCAGAATCAAGCATCTCACTCACTAAAGGTGATGGAGAGGAATAATGAATGGCGGAATTGCGAAATATCTATCATAACTGTATGACATAAGTATATTAAAAATAATTACATCAATATATGGTAATATCGCCCGATGAGACACTACAAGTAATTTTCATTTCTGACTTTTTTTTTTTTTTTACTCAGCCAGTTAATACCGATTAGGATAATGGCAATGTGGCGTAACGCCTGAATATCTGGGATTTTACCATTCTTATTTGAGGACGAGTGCGAAAAAAAATATCAGCCACCACTGGTTTAAGATACATGGCATTTAAAAAAAAAACAAAAAAAAAACTCGAAATTGCTTCCAGCAAAATTTCATGATTTCGCTGCTACAGCTCTACGATCGAAACTACAAAGGTATCCGTATCCCACATACAATCCCACCGCTCTCACAGGTTACATTAATTTGAAGCTAAGACTCGGAATACTATGACGCGCATTCAAGTTCCACAACGATAAAAAACTGAAATTAAAGATTTGGAGCAGTCAGCTTAAAAGATGACTGGATTGCCTGCACAAGGTGTTCTATCACGCAGAACTTGCGGATTTCTCTGTTTATGGAATCTCTGGTATCACGGATTAAACAAATTCGTTAAAAAGAAAAGAAGGAAAAGAGAAAAAAAAAGTTGCATTTTAGCGTAAACTCCATTTGAACCAACACTGCCCCGAACCCAATAATTTCACCGATACTCCAACACTCACACGCTATATAGCGATTTGCTAAGAGATGTGGTACAAGGCTAAAAGTATGGAGCACCCAGT